CACTCTCCAGCTCTGGCAGATCGGAGGCGAGACACCGCCGAGAGATGAGATCTAGCCGACATACGACCGCTGCCCGAGAAGAAGCACCTCGTGTGAGTGTGGACAGCGCCTGTGCACCCCTCAAGATCAATTCCGAATCAAATCGAGGTCGACGCCCCCTTAGCTGCCCGTCCGCCGAGTTGACAACCGCACCCCGTGGGCAGGTACTGGCACTCGTGCGCCACGCTCAACACGATGCGCGGGCTGCAGATGGCGGACGATTTCGGCGCTTCGACGGTGGACAACCCCGGCCTCGACTGCCTCGGTGGATCCCAGTCTCCGAATCAACCAATGCACTCAACAGGTGGGCGACCTCGACCTCGACTTCCTCAAGCCGTCGCCGCACTACGCCGCGTGGAGCAAGGCGGCGGACAAGGCGAAGGCGGCCGCGGCGGCCACCAAGCCTGGCGTCTTCACAGCGCACGAGGCGAGGGAGATCTGGGGAGATCTGGGGAGATCTGGGGAGATCTCACTCGGTCATGTGGCGGGAGGTATGGGGAGATCTGGGGAGATATGGGGAGATCTCGCTCGGTCATGTGGCGGGAGATCTGGGGAGATCTGGGGAGATATGGGGAGATCTGCAGCTCGACGACTTTGGGAGGCGGTGCGGCTGTGAGCGGCGTCTGTTCACACAGTGCTGGCTGTGAACAGGCGATGCAGCTCGACCTCGAGGAGGCGCTGACGCGGCCGGTCGCAGGCGAGGGGCAGCAGATGCCACAGCCAAGGGGGAGACGTGGGGAGACTGGGGGAGATTTGGGGAGATTTGGGGTCCGGCACTCACAACGCGGCTGCCGGCTCACAGCGCCGCCCTGCCGCCCACAGGCAAGGGGCACTACAACCTGTCGGCGCACATGGTCTGGATCGGCGACCGCACGCGCCAGCTGCTCGGCGGGCGCGCGGAGTCCTTTCGCGGCGTCCTCAACCCGATCGTCAGGCAAGTCGATGAGCTGTGTTTTGAGCGCGGGGTAGGCACGTCGAGTACTTTCGCGGCATCCGCAACCCGATCGGCGTCAAGGTTGGGCCGTCGATGCAGCCGCAGGAGGGGACGGAGCTGTGCGCGAGGACAGCACACACACCCACCCACACCCTCCTCCTCACCGCTGCTGTTCTCTGCCGCAGGAGCTGAAGGAGCTGTGCGCCATCCTCAACCCGGACAAGGTGGGAGGGGCGGCGCTGACTAGTCAGTCAGTCAGTCAGTCAGTCTTACACACCTCCAAGCATGGAGGACGGGCCCACACGCACACACACGCTGCACACGATTGGCTCGGGAGCCGACACGAGGCACACTGACTAGTGGGTGGCCAAACGGGTGAGTGACTGACTTGCGGTCCTCGCCCCGGACAAGGTGGAGGGGCGGCTGGTGCTCATCACCCGCTACGGCGCCGAGAAGGTCGCCGCGCTGCTTCCCGCCCACATCAAGGCGGTGCAGGAGAGCGGCGTGCCGGTCGTCTGGCAGTGCGACGGCGTGCACGGCAACACGGTCGAGAGCCAGCCGAGAGCTAGCCGAGATCTAGCCGAGAGCTAGCCGAGAGCTAGCCGAGAGATAGCCGAGAGCTAGCCGAGAGATAGCCGAGATCTAGCCGAGAGCTAGCCGAGAGATAGCCGAGAGATAGCCGAGAGCTAGCCGAGAGCTGCCGAGATCTAGCCGAGATCTAGCCGAGAGACGTGCACGGCAACACGGTGTCCTCCGACACATCTTCCTACGACACCTCCTTCCTCCTAGACATCTTCCTACGACACTACCTGGACACTTCCTAGACGCCACGACCACAGCGTCGTGCGAGCTCAAGACCGCGCAACAGCTCAATGAGTCATCACCTCATCACGCGCGGTTGACTGCAGGTCACAGCGTCGTGCAAGCTCAAGACGCGCAAGTTCGACGACGTGATGGCCGAGGTGTCGCGCGCGCTACAGGTGCGAGATCACCCGAGATCACCCGAGATCACCCGAGATCCGCCGAGATCCGCCGAGATCCGCCGAGATCCGCCGAGATCCGCCGAGATCCGCCGGGATCGCCGGGAGTCGCCGAGATTCGACGCTGTGGTATGGCCGAGGTGTGCCAGCACGGGGGCGCCGCGCCGCGAGAGCGGCTCCACTCTCGTCTAATCTCGTCCAATCCCGTCCAATCTCGGCGAATCTCCTCAGGTGCACCGCGAGAGCGGCTCGACGCTCGCGGGGGTCCATCTCGAGATGACGGGCCAAGCAGCGGTGACCGAATGCACGGGCGGCGTCGTCAACATCGAGGAGCTTCGCCCCCCCGCCGCCGCTCCTGCCGCCACCATCCCTGCCTCCCGACTCGCGCCTCCCGTGTGCTCCTCCGCTTGACGTGTGTGTCTCGCGCCTTGGGGGGAGGGGGGAGGGGGAGAGGAGGAGCCTCTTCCCAAGAGCGCCACTCTTGGAGCACCGCCGCCACCACCCAGAGCGCTGCGAGCAGCGCCGGGCGATGACGGCTTAACCCCCCCCCCCCCGGGGCACACCCCGGCCGCCTTGACTTTGCCCCACCGCGTGGTGCTCTCAGGAGGACATGCTCACCCGGCAGTACGACACGTACTGCGACCCGCGCCTCAACTACGCGCAGTCCATCGAGGCGTCGCTCGTCATCGCGAACGCCCTCGGTGCGCGCTGAGCGGTGCGCGCTGCAGCGCGCCGCAGCCGAGAGCCTGCAGCTGTGTCCGCAGCGAGCTTGCGCGGAGAGGGTGCAAGGCTGTTCGGCAGTACCCCATCCATGATTTACTGACGCGGCGGGATCGAGACATCTCAGCGTAGGCCGTGCATCTCGGTAACCTTACGGCTTTGCCGGACGATTTGTGTTTGAACTATATCGAGATAAAATGCCTCAAGTAGGCTGCTGCTAGGGGAAACCCGGAGCGCGGACGAGCCAACCCTCGGAGACCCGTGTTTATACTTTATATAGATTATACGGCCTTCTCCCTGCGAACGCGCACCCCCCCTAGCTAGGGGTCAGGGCTCTCTAGCCCGTAGCCCGATACCGATCATCCGGCCCGCTGGATGCGCTTCTCAGCTCCCCGGCCCTGGATGTGAGGTTGCTGACTGCACTCCAAGTGCTCCAAGTACGAAGTAGGGTGCCAGCTAGCCGAACCGCATTTCCAAGGGCAAGGCGTTTACGGGGTGTGGAGGGTGAGTTGGGTAGTTGCACGAGTATATGGGACAAAAGCGTCGAAAATGTCTCAGATTGGGGTGCCCGCCATGTTTGGCAGCTCCAGCGCGGCCCTCATCAGCGGGACGCCGCCGGTCGGGCGATACACGCACTCCCTGGGCCCCACTGAGTGCGCCGAACCCGCTAGACCGAAAAAGAGGGGCTCGGCCGCGCTTCGGCGGCATCCCAGGAGTGGCCAAAAGAAGAGAGGACAGGGCTGGGACACTGGCCAGAAGGCCAAACGGGCGCGATACGTGGAAGCGGTGCGTGCTACTACTCGCTCGAGGGCTCCGGCGGCCGCGATCGAGCCGTCGCACGTCGAGGAGCCGCCCGCCGCGCCCGTCGAGCGTGCCGACGAGCGGCCGCCGGCCGTGGGCCAAAAGCAGGCCGCGCGGCGCAAGCGCGACCGCAGGCATGACGAGGCAGCCGGCGGACATGGCGCCGAGCCTCAAGGCAAGCGTGCGGGGGCGGCGCGGGCGAAGAAGCGGAAGCTGGCGGAGCTGGCCGCTGATCTCCCTCAAGACCTCGGTGCGACGGCGGAGGGGCGGCACGCGGCCTTTGCGACGACGCGCTCGGGCGGGCCTCGAATGAGCGTGGAGGCGGCGCGGAAGGCGGCGTCGCACGCGCAGCTGCAGGCCTCCAAGTACTTGAAGGTGATGGTGCGGTGCGGCCACCTCAAGGAGGCGGCGGCTGTGATGGGCGGCCAAGCCCGCGACCCAGAGCTGCGCCTGCTCAACCCGGCCGCCGGCCTGATCCTCTCCGAGGACGCCTCCGCCGAGCGTCAGATTATGGCAAACGTCGGCGAGATGCTGAACCGCGACGGTGGCGGCCGCGGCAACCGCTCGGAGGACGCCGCCCGCTTCGCCAGCGCCGTTGCCGTCGCCGTGACCGACGCGGCCTCTCCCGCTAAGGTTGGCAGGCAGAGAGCGCCGGCTTCGTGCTCGCCCGGCCGCTCGCGGCCATGTCAAGTAACGCAAAGTTGCAACTTTCCCGCCGTCAAAACGTCCAATGCTGCCGACGGTGCCGTCAAAACGTCCAATGCTGCCGACGGTGCCGGCGTCAGGCACACGCGCCGCGCTGCTGCTGGGCTGCACGTCGCTGCTTTGCCTGCTCGCGCTGCTCGCACACGAGAAGCCTGCTGAATCAGCTGCTGACGTCTGCGCCAATGTTCCGCGCGTGCCAGCTGCGCTACTGAAGCACCTCTCACAGCAGGAGGCTGCCGATGTGGACGCAGCGCTCATGCCGACTCCTGGCCTGAGCGTCGAGAGCCTCATGGAGCTCAGTGGCCTCGCGGTCGCGCACGCAGTACTCGCTATCTACCCACCGAATGCATACCCAAACGTGCTCGCGGTCCTCGGTCCTGGCGGTAACGGCGGGTGGCATGGTCGCCGCTCGGCACCTTGCCAGCCTCGGATATTCGGTCAGCGCCTACTACCCGAAGCGAAACGGCGGCGCGCTCTACGTGGGCCTCGCCGCATCGCTCGAGCAGATGGGTGTCCGCTTCGTCGACGCGCTCCCGCCGCCCTCGCGCACCACCGTCGTCGTCGACGCGGTGTTCGGCTTCAGCTTCCGGCCGCCGCTGCGAGCGCCGTTTGGCGAGGTGCTCTCGAGCATGAGCGCCTTCCCGCACATTGTCGCCGTCGACGTGCCGTCGGGCTGGGACGTGGACGCGGGCCCGCCAAAGACTGGAGGCGGAGCTGAACTGCGGCCGTCGGTCCTCGTCTCGCTCACTGCGCCCAAGCGCTGTGCGTCGGCCTTTGACGGCACGGCGCACTTTCTGGGTAAGGTGCTCATGCCGCCGGAGGTGGGCGAGGCGCACGGGCTGCTGCCACAAACGGCCTGGGGAAGTAGCCAGGTCGTGCGGTTGGTTTAGGTTCGGGCGGGCAAAAGATGCTTCACACCGTCCATAGATTCACGACGTGCCTCGGGTCCGGCGGTTGCAAAACTCTGACGTGTCTTCGCTCTCAAATCACGCTGCGGGGTTTCTTATATAGTCGTGGGTGCTCGGGGCGAGGCCCCGAGCCGAGCGCCCTCCCCCCTTGACCATCAACCCGTGCGTGCAACGCACTCCCGTGCACCTCCCGACGAGAGCCCGCCGTCGCGTATTGAGAGTGAGAGCTGATCTCATTCCACGCCCGGAGTGGGATCTGAGGGTAGTGAATCGTCGTCTAAAGGAAACTTCACGCTCGGGGCGCCCTCTATATTCCTCGACTCTACTCCTAGATCACTCCATGCCGGCCATAAAACGGTGAAACTCTCAGATAAAAAAGTGTAACTCATTGGAGCGCGCGCGACAGCTGCATCAGCGGCCCCTGATGCCTAGGAGCCGCTTTGAGACTGTTGCCGCGGCGGAGGTCGCCGTTGAGAGCGCGGCCGTTTTTGTTTGAAATGGAGCTTCCCGTCGCGGTCGCCCCACGCTTTGGCCTTTGCTGAGCTCGGCCTCGGCGGTCTCGTCGAGCTCGTTGCTCCAGAGGCTGCGGAGCACGGTGCACGTAAGCACGTGCAGCCGCGGTCAGCGAGGACGAGGATGCGAATGGAGCGCGCGTAGCACCCCACCGCGCACGGCCCAGCCGTCCCCGACATGAGCACGTGCGCAGCGCCCATGCAGCGGACGGGCAACAGGCATCTCGACTCGTTCCTCTACTTATACATGATTTTAATTAATGGCGCGAAACCGCATTCCGTTTAGCGTTTTCTCTTCTCCCTTATGTGAGTTGTGTGCATCGCCGACCTGTCATCTCACACCATGATACCACCACGCGAATCGGCCGGAAGCGAATCGAGTAGCCTGCTCGCTGCGCCATTGCTCGGCTGCACCTTCAGCAGGGCACGCAGGTCGGCACGCGCTCTGCTGGCGTCCCCGTCGCCGTCGCGGCTCGCGTGCGCGCTCGCGCGGCGGTAGAGCGCCTTTGCGTGCGTGGGCACGGCCTCCAGGACGGCGGTGGCGGTCTCGATGGCGGCGTCCCAGTCGCCGAGTTTGAGGGCGGCCTGGGCGGCGTTGGCGCGCAGGTCGGTGAGCAGCGCGTCGGTCGTGCCCACCATGTGCGCCGAGCAGAGCACCCGCGCATGCTCGAGCGCGCAGAGCGCGCCCTCGCCCTCGAGATACCTCTCGAGTGCCGCGCGCGGCTGGCCATCGGACAGCAGTCGGTTCCCCTGGGCCTTGAGCTCGGCGGCCTGGGCGAGGCGCGCGTTGAGCGTCGCCTGCAGCGACGAGCGCTTCCGGCCGAGCTCCTCATCCAGCTCGACCTCCTCGGTGTCCTTGACATAGTCGGTGCACTGCAGCGCCGCGGTGCCGCCCCCCGCCCGGAGGGTCACGCCGATGCTGTCCTCGCTCTTGCCCTCGTTTTCGACCGCCGCGAGCGCGCCCGCCTCGTCGAAGCGGTCCCATGCACGGTACGCGTCGCGGAGGACGCTGGAGCCGCCCGCGCTGCGGTCGAGGGCGGGGAGGCGTCGCGGCTGCGGTGGTGGTGCGGTGGCAGACGAGGCCGGCCTTGAGGGCGCGGACGCGCCGGTCGCGGCTGGCGCTGTGCCAGGCGTGGTGGTCGCCGTCGTCTGGCGGATCGGGATCCGCCACTCGCACTGCTGCGCCTTGCGCAGCGTGAGGTGCAGAGATCCGTCCACGAGTTCCCACTCGCTCTCTTCCGGTGCAATTGTGCCGCCGAGCGGCCCATCGAGGAGGATGCGGCCGTGGCAACGCACGCACAGCGTCGTGGGCAGCATGCGCACGAGCAGGTCGCGCCCGCGCACGCCCGCTCCGACGCTGAAGAAGAAGCTGGCCGTGTCTGTTTCCTGCGCCCACTCGAAGTCGTCGAGCCCGGGAACGTCGAAGGGCTGGCGTGCCTGGTGCACCGTAATGGCGTCGAGGTTGTGGTGTGACATATACACACACACACACATACACAGCAGCCTGGGTTCCAACTTTTTCCGGGGGCATGGTATGGTACGCTCGGGGCCCAAAGGGTGGGGGGGGTATGGTCCTGACCGCCCATCCCCGGTCTCCGGGAGGCTGGGTCTGTCAGCATGCGGGGGGGTTATGGTCTCGAGGTGGGTTGCGCGAGACTACCATACCATACCATACCCCGCACAAACTCCAAACCCTGGTGGAGCAAAAAGAAAGAAAGGAACGCACAAACAACCCAAGGGAGGGATGGGAGGACGGCACGCCGCCACCACAAAGGGATTTTAAGCAGCCCACTTCTTCTTCAAAATTCATCTTCCACCTGGTGGTGCGATGGGCTCCCTCCCTCCCGCGGGGAGATGTCAGCGCGCTGTCAGCCCTCTGTAGCATCAGGTGCAAAGGAAAGAGTGGACGAGATCCCGCCGTTCTAACTGCCATGTCACGGCCGGTCGGCTGCTGCTCTCGCCTCGCTGGCGGCGCGGTCTAGTGCCGCGGCTCCCAGCTCTCCGGTGGGCTCGCGGCGGCTCGCCGCCGTGGATCTGAACAATATGACCGGTCCGGGTTCGTCCCGGCGTGCCGCCAGTGCCGCTTCTTCTCCGAAAATTTCCTCACCATGTTTGTCGACAAAGTTGCCCCCGAGCTCCTGCTGCTCGACTGCGCGGCAGAACCGGCCCCTCGCGGCTGAGACGTGATGCGCCGGCACCGGGGCTACGGCGCGGGACCATTTCCAGGCTCTCTCGAGCAACCTCAAAATTGGCCAATTTTGTGATCTCAACCCTGCTGCTCTCTGACCACAACCTCGCGGCCCGCTGCGCGGCTCTCCAAGCGCGAGAGGAGTCGTCTACGAGGCGGCGGCGAGCGCAGGCGGCGGCGGCGCGGCGGCGCGGCGGCGGATCGCGGCGCAGACAACGGCAGCAATCTGCGGCACACATGCACACACGCCTCCCTTGCACTATACCACTCACACCGCCGCCGCACTCTCGGGGGCGGGCAGCGGCGGCGGAGGAGAAGCTACGGCGGGTGACGACGCGGAGACGGCGCTGAGGGGTCGAGCGACCCGGGGGATGCCCCGCGCGCCTGACCCAGGCGCGAAAACGAATCTGCGAGGCGTGGCCGCTCACGCGGCCCGATGGGGAGGAGCGGGGCGGACTACGGGGATCGGCTTCTTACACAGCGGTTACACCAATCCTCGCTACCCAACGCGGCCAAACAAAGGATATCCACCTCGAGAACCTCGAGAGAGAGTGGGCTGGATTTTAAGGAGAGGGGTGTGATGCGCTAGCCGTCGCCCACCCTAGGGAGTCTGCCTCTTCCTATCTCTCTTCGCAGTCTCTCGCCGATTCTCGCTGCAACCTTCATGCCACCTCGCGGTCGTCCCACTCTCGTCGTTCTCTCCCTTGTCACTTCTTCCTCTGTCGCGTCGCTCTCTTCTGCCTGGTCCTGCGACGCCGCCGCCGCCTGCCGGTCCCTTGTTCTCGCGGTTTCTTTCGCCTTTCGGCGCAATTCCGCCCTCCTCGCGGCATATCTTGGCCCCTCGTGAGACAACCCCTCCGGGCGGGAGGCCGGCCTTCCCCGTGCCGGTTCTCCCCAAGCAACCCCGCCGGCAGCGCGAGCTGCCGTCCACATTGAGCGGGTCGTCCGCGTCGCGCACTCGTCCCAACCGGGGGCCGCAGACTCGTTCTGCGCGCCAACGGCTGGGACGAGTGAACTGCCAAGCAAGTGACACACAAGTGCTGTGACTTACACTTCGCCGGATACCAACTCGCAGAAGAGACTCTAATAAGCCTACCGGATGCGCTCGCTCTTTCTTGGAAAGAGAGAGTTTTGTTGCAAAATTCAATAAAAACATCTCTTTCCCGCCTGGGCGGGGCGGTGGGCGGGCGCGCGGTGCGGCATGGCGTATTTCTCGGAAAGGGGGTACAGATTGTGGGGGGTGCAACGTGGAAGGGGTGCAGCTGCTCGAGCGGTCAGGCCAGCTGCCGCCAACGCCATCCACCCCGCCGGGCGGCCGACCGCGCACCGCGCAGCAGCACCCGTTGGTGCGCACCAGCCTGACGCCCCGCTCCCCGCTCGCAGGTGGGTGGTGCGAGTCACCTCTGGCGCAGCGATGCTGTCGCGCTTTCTCGTCATCCTGGTGGCTTCGCTCGTCCACGGCAGGACCTGCGACCAAAACCTCTGCGGTGGAGATTGGTGGTCCTCCTTCGACAGCGCAGGCTGGAGCACGTGCAACGATGGGTGCGGCATGGCGGGCTTGCACCTCAACAGCGTCGGTGGCTGCAAGTCGCTCTTCTGCCTTGAGGAGGCAAAATGCTGCCGCATCGCAGACGAGCACACCTGCAATAAGGTCGACATCCTGCTGTCGTTTGACACTCGAGGCTGGGCTGGCTGCCCGTCCAACCAGTACATGTGCCACATTCGTAGATGCATAATAAACAATCGCACGCTCGAGCCCCAGGCCACCACTGACATAAAATGTCGCTCTGCACCCACCAGACAGACACACGGCACATAAGATGTCCGGCTGCAGCTCCAAGCCACAGTGTGTGCCGCCCCAAGGGGTTTGGATGGAGTTCTCCATAACCTCGTTAGGTCCGGCCTCTGGCGGAACTCGCGACAAGGCGATTCGGATCCCATCTCGTTGATTGAGACCATCGATTGCTGCGGCGCAAAGGACGGCTCCGGTTCGATGAGCAACTGCATCAACGTCGAGCTACCCCACTCGCGGGGTGCGCCGTATCGAAGCTGCCCGAGCGACTACCCGATTGCCTACTATGATACACAAGTTGCAAATGTGTTCACAGCGTGCTGCAAGGAGTCCAGCTGGTCCGGTGGCAGTTGTGCCAGAGGCAGCGGTAGGGAGTACAGAGATTACGTGTGGTGCGACAGTGCCTTGAAGTCAAGCGGCCCTGGATGCCGGAATCACGACGAGAATTGGGCAATCTGCCCAGGCGACAAGGTGCTGACTGGCATCTACCGTGGCGGCGGAGGCGAACCGACGTATGGCGTCCTGAAGATAACGGTTGTGTCGGGCAGGGACGTGCGCGGCAAAGGCGGCAATATGGAGGGGACGTACGATCGCGACGGCTTGGAGACGGATCCCTACGTGAAGGTGTCTGTCAACGGGGGTTTACCCCGGCAGACGGACCACAGAGATGATACGGATCAGCCCGTTTGGAACAAGGACATGGACTTCGGGGCACAGCCGATCGGAGCGACGAAGGTCAAGGTCGAATTGTGGGACAGGGATCCCGCTGGCAACCCGGATGACCACATGGGCACGAAAGAGTTCTCAGCTGACCACACGGGCACGAAAGAGCTCGAACAGTTTGTCTCTTCGGAAGAGGGGGAAGGCCACATAAAGCTGCGAGTGACCTTCGACCTCCCGGATCCTGGCGCGGGTCTCGACGACATCGAGATGCTACGATGCTGCGATTACGACCCGGAGGCACCGGCCAGTGTGGAGGTTGTCGACTGCTACGAGCAGAAGCAACAGTCGTTCGACGGCGGCGGAACGAAGCTCACTTGGCTGACTGCGGCCGACGCTCCTCTCCCTCCCGACCGCCGTGGCTGCCTTGAGAAGAAGGCAGGAACATCGTGCTCCTACTTCGAAGCCTACGGCTATGAATGCAATGCCGGTGCTTGTGCCAAGTCCCTCTGGCATGATCGTGGAAGAGGGGCGCGAGTCAGTAATGCTGCAGTAGGCGTCTGTGCCAACATTCATTTGGACAAGTGCCAAGATGGCGCGTCATGCAGTGCGTGCGATGAGTGGCGTGGAGATGTTGTCCAGACTGGCTGTTTCTACGCCGATGTCCCGCACAGTGATTGCTGGGGCTTCACTGACCCAAAGTACGAATGGACGTGCAAGTACGAAAGCTACAGGGGCGGCGGGGAGTGCGCGCTCGAGCTGGCGAGACTCAAGGATGGCGTCCCAGGAGGCGGGGCTCATTTCAAATGCACCTATCCTAAAGTCGGAGTGCAAATGGACCTGTGCAAGGGCAAGGACTCGGTAGGCACAAACGCCGTTGATTCGGTAGCACGCTACCAGTGCGGCCAATGCGAGGCATCGTCTCCGGAAACGGACCCGGGGACGATGCAGGCAAAGTTGACTCACGAGAAGAGCCTCGAAGAGCACTGCTACGTGCCTCTCGACAGGTGCCGCATCCGTGCGGTCAACGCCGACAGCGTCCTTGGACAAACGTGCCCAAGTGGTACCGAACGGGCTGGCGGCAAGTGCAGCGTGGTCGCGCCAGGCAAGAAGAAGACCGTGTTGGACAAAGAGAGCACGGCGTGCCGGCGGGGCACGTGGTCCTGCAATGCCCGCTTTGCCCTCGAGCCCGGGGACCAATCGTGCGAGACGTACCCGATCCGTAACGCCTCGACTTGCTGGTTTCCACACGAGTCGCCCCTTGGTCTGAAGCTCAGCGGCACGGACCTCGCGGACGAGGCTGCTGGCGCCGTCGTCGAGCAGTGCCGGTCGCAGCCGCCACTGATCTTTCAGGCGGGTGGCAACGCCGACGCTGCGGCCCCTCCGACAACGGTGCACTCGATGCTCGAGAAGATCAAGAGCCGGGACGCAACCAAGGCGTTTCTCTGCCCGAGCCGGAGCCCTGCGATCCAGCTGTTCCATTCGAAGCAGACCGTCGCAGAGTTGGATGTCTGGGACGCCGCGTGCGGCCCTGACAACATCTTTTTGTTCGACTACCATCAGGAGAAGGGCTTCGACTGGACCCCGCTGCTCGATGGAAGCATTCAGTGCCGCGACGACCTCGACGACTGCGAGATGCATTGGGGGTGCCCTTGCGACGACGAGGGTAAGTTCCAGCCGTGCGAGTACTTGCTGCTCTTCGCGTACCACGCACAAAAGGCGCTCGCGACGTATCCAGCGACCACTGGCGGTGCCGAGTGGGTCGCAAGGCTCTCGTCGGCGGTGAGGATTCTCGAATCTCTCCAAGAGCTGCTCTCTCCTGATCCCATCGGCGCGACAGGTAGTAGCTCTGCTGGCTCCCGTTCGCTGCTCTTTGCGTCCCTTCCGGGCG